CATTTTTTTCCTTTTCCCCCTTCCTGGTTTTTTTTTCCCCCCCCCCCCCCCCCCCCAGCCACACCACATGCACCGACTTGCCGCCACTTCCGGGCAGGCACCCACTACAGTACGCCAGCAATGAAAAGGGGCCAGGCGAATTCACGACGCAATATTCGCTGGTCATGATGATAAGTCCAAACGTTCTTCGTCGTTGCTTTCGAAACGTGATCGAATTGTAAGACCAGACATTCTGAGGACAAACTAGCAGTTCGGATGGACGGAGGAGGCGGCGATCGCATGGACGTCGACGACGACGACAACAGCGCGGGCGGTGGGCCGACGAGAAGAGGGGAGGGCGACGGGCCCCACAAGAACCCCTCCTCCGTTTCACCCCCCTCCCCCCGCCGCAGGAGGGGGAGGGGAATGCCAAAGCTCCAGCTGTTCGACCTCGTCGCAGGAGGGGCTTTCGAGCGAGCCCTGGAGGGCATGGGACGCCAGGAGGGCGGGGAGGTACGCTTACGCACACCCACGTACCCGTAGGAGGCGGAGAGATGGCACCCCCCTCAGGGCTCGGTTGCTTCACACAACCAATGGGGTGGTGCGGAAGGAGGCCGATAATTCTACTCCAGGAAAAGACCTCGACGAAATTATCCCAACAAACGCCATTTTTGATGTTGGCACAAGCTTGGTTGTGAAGCCATCGAGCTCGGTGAACGGGGGGTGCCATCTCTAAGCCTCTTGCGGTACAGTAATCGTCGCTCGAAACGTTATAACATATGGCATTCGGAGGAGTATGCTACATGCAGCGGCAGTGGCAGTATATGTCTATCTAGGCATGAACGTCCGTGAAAGCTAAATATGTAGAGTATCAAAGACGCCGCTCTCTTGTCGAGAAGTTCACGCGATTTCCGGTTCGAAGGTGGAAGGGCCGGGTTACGCGCGTTCGGGTGTGGTTCCCTCGCCCTTTGCGGATGGCCCAGTCTTTTCTCGCACCTGGGAAAAGCAAATTGTATCGTCGTTGCTGCTGCTGCTGCTGCTGCTGCTGCTGTTGTTTCCACGGATAGTTTGTACTGGTGAGAAACAGTTTTTTTTTTCGACGGCGACATTTCTTGCAGTAGTTGTTGCTGTCGTCGTTGCTGCTCCTGCCTGGCAGTTGTCAATAAACAACAACACTCCGTAACTACCTTCCACCCAAAACACGATAACCTTCCTCCTCCTCCCTCCATGCCCTGCCGCTGACGACGGAACCTCCCCCGTTTCTCCGGTGTGTGCGCCCCCTTCCTATTATTGTCCCCGGCGGCGGCGGCGGCGGCGGTGGGCAGGAGGGCGTGTGGTCGTACCTGCCGCTGTTCCTGCAGATGCTGAGGGACGGCAGTACCAAGTCTGGTGCGGAAGTCGGAGATCGCTTCGACAAGCTTCTCAGGGTGAGGAAGGGTGTTTTTTGGTGTTGGACGTCAACGTTCTTTGATGTTTTATTGTGTGTATGGTATACCCGATGGGGATGGTTGACCTGTGACAACGGCAAGGCGTCCCCGCCAGTTGGACCGGCAGGGAGGTGTGAAGGTATGTACACACCGAGCGGAGACCGGATCATTTTCTGTTGTGATTACAACAGCAACGGCGACAACAACAACAAACGTATTCTGTGGCGTCATGTGTGCATGGTGTCATGCGACTGCGAAACAGGAGCTCGTCAGGGTGAGAGCTATTTTAGTTGGATCTTCTATTTGCCGGGTTTGCACGGTTGGTGGTGCGATGTGGTCGGTGCTGTCAAACGCTGTAGCGATCTCGCCGTGCTTACACATCTATAACGTCAAGAAGACTGGAACGAGACTGGCACCCAGGTCGCTGATTGATTGTGGAGGACAGCCCTCGGGAATTCTCCGCCTCCCCCTTATTTGCCTATTTGTTACTTGTCTAGAAAATCCAAGGCGCCCCCGTCAGAGTTTTTTAGTGTGCTGTAGTTGACCGAAAGCTCATACGCGTAACGTCCTTTCGGCAGCACTTTGTACATCGTGGCACACTGGACATGGTCATGTAGTCGTTTCTGCTCCTGCATGGGGTTCTCAGCATGCATGACAGTACGGATGCATCACGAGAAAAACAGACGAAACAAAGCGGCATTCCTCCCCATCCCTCGCGGACCCCCCTCCTTTCACCTCGTATGGCAAAGGAACTGCGCAGCCATGTATGTATATGCCTTTTCAACCCAACTACGAACACGGACCCCCCCCCCCCCCCCCCCCTCTGTTGAACAGGTCGTGGTGCAGAACCGTAGGGCCGACTCCACGGAAGACTACCTAAACATCGCGAGGGATTGCTGCACGCACCTCCGCAAGGGCCCCACCCCCACCACCACCACCGCCTCCTCGCGGATGGCTTCGAGACTGGCGACGTCCTCCCCGCAACCCCTGCACTCGGCACCGTCGTCGAAGACGACGGACTCGCGGTCTGCGTCGCCGGTGCCTGCGGGGGGAGGGGGGGAGGGGGCGCAGCAGGGGCCGGCGATGACGGAATGGGACGTAGGTGAGGGTCGTTGTTGGCAGCAGTCAATGTGGGTGCCTTTGTTTTTCTAGAACAGCGTTGCAAACAGGCGCACTTCGCATGCGAAGGTGAGTGTCATGTATCCCCCCCCGCCATCTCTCGCGGGATGTGGCGAAGACCCTGACGACCACCGAAGGTTTGATGCACAGCACAGGACGGCGGTGCGACGGCTGATTTGTTGCTTTCGGCAAAGCACGCGTGAGAGGGAATGGGGGTGAATTGACTCTTTCGAGAACCGGATTTGGTGAACCCGTCAATTGGCGCTCATTTCCAAAGTACGACGTATGACATACGAGGCATTACATATGAAGTATTACATACGAAGTATTACATACGAAGTATGACATACGAAGTGTGACATACGAAGTACTCCGTATTACCTAGCATCACGGGGCAGCCTTTTCAGGTCTCTCACCGGCGGCATGCACTGCAATCCTCTGTTATCGTCGTTGTTGTTTTGTCGGTAGTGGTGGCTGCCATCGACCAGGAGAAAGAGAAGGCCAACGCCGAAGCCGCAGGGGGCGGCGGCGGCGGGGGCGGCGGGAGCGACGCGGGGGGGAGTGTTTCGAGGCGTGACGGGAAACAGATGGACCTGTTGCTGGAGGTGGAGTCGCTGGAGCCCAAGCAGCTCATGTCGGTGGGTGTGTGTGTCTATCTCTTGTCTGCCGTTTGCTGTTTCAGGGTGTATGTATTTATTATTACCGTCGACCGCGCTAACCGGCTGACCAATGAATTGACGTCAGTCTTAGTGCGGTTGAAAACACAAAACACTTCTAAATGCCATTAACTGGGACCCCGTGGGGGGGCGACATGGGGGAGATTAATCTATTCTCCGGATCAAAGACAGAAGCGCAAGCAACAGAAGAACACTAGATGTATGTGTGTGTCTCTCTCTCTTGTCTGCCGTTTGCTGTTGCAGGGTGAATGGATTGGTTTGCTTTCTAAATACCGGCATTAATAGCCTTCCTTGTCTGTCAGTCCTTTCCAGCCTTGTCTGTCTGTGTGTCTGTCTATCAGTCATTGAGTCTGTCTGCATTGTAGTCGGGATGTGTGTTGTCTATCTGTCAAGTCTGTCTACCGATTCTGCCGGTCTCTTTTTCTGTGTAGGCACGCTGACCTGAGTGCCCCTCCTCCAGGCGTGCGGGCATTCATGTCTCGGCGAACTTTCTCCTTGCTCAAATGGCTTTGTTCGCTTGGGCTTCCTTCTCACCTCTGACAACGTTCGCTGCTCTTGTCCCCCCCCCCTACATCGCACCCCCTCCC